AAGATAATCATGAGAACTACTTGTTATCAAAAAGTGGGTGGACTGGAAAAAAATGACTTGTACACAGTATCCTCGGTAAGCACACAGTAACCTTTTAAAATTAAGAGCTGGCAAGGATCAGTGGGTCACAAGTATTCTTTTTATTCAATCTACTTGCTGGAAATGTTCTGGTTACAGATTAACTTCACTTTTGCTCTGTCTTACACTTGGATTCCTTGGCTCTGAAACGTAAACTAAGCAAGTTTGGATGAATGGATCAGACTCTGTTGTAGGTTTATTACCGATGCCAAGGGTACTGTCTTTTCTTCTGAAATATTTATTACTGGTCACTGCATACTCCATTAAATCCCAGCTGAATATTCACATTTCCTGACTACAGTAAACTAAGAAACTGCATACCCAACTAAATACCATTAGATACGGTATAGTACAGCCAGACAAAATTACAGCTTTCTAAGCCCCTTGTTTCTACTTAGGAAAGAGATGGATTCAGTTAACATGTTTTCTAGACTTCCAGGGACTCTTACTTCTCTTTACACTACAGTAACATTCCAGTAATACTCATAGGTACTAGATGTGGACATGCTCTCTAACAGAATCTTTTAGTACTACCCGTGTTAATCAAGACATTTGGCCTATCCTTGTTTACACAACTTTCTGACTGTTTTTGCACTAAACATTTTGTTTCCCAGCTATCTGCAAGCACAGTATACATTCAATATCCTGCCTGAAGTGAGGGGTGGGGGAGACTGTATAATCCACAGTCCTCTAAACAGATATAAACCAGTGAAAACCACTGAAGTATAAGCACAGCAGTTCTAGTGGTCTGAGAACCACATCCTGAGCTGCTTTCACAATTACGAAAAAGCCAGAAAGGTTTAGTAGATGCTGTTTTAAACTCTTTTTATAACAGTGAACTGAAATTGCAGGGTACTCTATAGTGGTCATCGGATATCCAGCCCTGTGGAGACTGCTCTATGTGAAGAACGGTTTGTATGTAAAGCATTATCATGTTGACCCTACAGTTGTCACCATACTCCTGCCTACAAGTTACCCTTCATGGAGGCTTACATCAATGTGGCGAGAAGAACTAGAGGTTCTGCATAACATACAGCTACAGACAATGTGGAAAAGCCTTCCTAAGAGTGGCTCTGAAACAATCAGCATGAGTCACCAGGAACTGCTTCATGTATACACTACTGGGCAGGGCGAAGAACTTGCTGAGATACTAAACAGTTCCAGTACAGTAACTAGGCTTCTGTTTTAGCTAACTTGAGACATCTATGAATGGTGGAAATACTGGTGGGCTACAGCAGAAAAATAAGTGTTACACCCTTGCTCTTTAGCCATCTGTTAAAAGCCTATCTGTTCCTAAAAGCTGAATGATATTGATTAAAGAAATGGTTTATGACAGTATTTGAGCACATGATTCATTTAAATACATGAAATAATCCCACTGGTGCTCTACTGGTCTCTTTATGGATTGACCCTTTTAGCCCAGCTAGGTTGATGTGGCCAAGAAAGCCAGAGATACCATTCTGAAGAGCAATCAACTAATTAGATGAACTGTGGGTGCCGATTTAGAAATAATTCTGATCAAACAGATGGCCTTGAAAATGAAAACTTTAAATGGGAAAGGTGAGTGTTTTGACAAGATCATCATATTGCTCCATTTGTTGGCACAGTGCAATTACAGGAGATTAATTAGGCTAGCAGGGAACACCTGCATGGATAAGGGCACCTAATTGCTGCAAAACACAGCACTGAAAATAATCAAGATTAATAAAGCTCATTCTTCAAGTTTATGAAGTAACACTTAAAATACTTGGCAACAAAATCATAAAAAGTATTAGGAATAACCAGAACAGTCTGGTCTGAGAATACCTGAGGTGAAATAATGTGGCAAAGCTCTTCAAATTGGTTATTTCTGTGCTATCCTTCTAACATGGCAACAGAAAGGAACACCACTGCTTGGCATACAGAAAATCCAGTCTACTACCTCCCCACAACAAGACAGCCTATAAATATTAATATTTCTTCCAAATGTAAAAATTGCATTTGGGTGCCTAACACATTTTGATTTTCAAGAAAATCCACACAGTGATTGCAAAACATTGTTACACAGAAACAGTTTAAACAGATTTTGATAGAACGTTGATTCACCAGCCTCAGAGACCACAGGGTCAGTTTAAAAAATCCACACTCAGTTTGGAGAGCAAAACTAGGAGATGCAAGGCTGAACCACCCAAAGACATTCCAGTTTATGGATATTTAGAACTAGTGAATTTCACGTAAGTTCACTCACAAGTTAATTATCAACAGACAAAAAATTAAATTCACATTCTCTGTCCTAACTTTTAAGAGAGACCTTACATATTGATATCATTTAATTGCCCAATACATTTAACCATAGAAAATGTGGTGCTAAGGAGATCATCACATTTTCTACAAGACTTGCTAGTGAAATTTCCGTACAAGTATAGTTTTAAACCTGTCTACCTGTAGTGGTTTTAAGTAGTTTTAAATTACTATAACTTTAGTATCTAACATGCATTGCATGCATTCCTTTTTCTTTATTTATAATCCCATTCAGATGATGTAAAGCAGGGAAGCTGCATTGGTTACCAACTCCTCAAAGCCATTTCCCCCTTAATACTCTCTTCAGCATGCTAGGCTAGGAAGATGATAACAATAGCACAGAGTTAAATTAATCCTCCAGCATCCTACAGACCTTTGTTGTGAACAAGAAACTTGAAATATATACAAAGCATTTCCCTCCTGATGATGCATCTCCTGAATCCCTCATGTGAGGGAAAGCTAACATAACTTGTGATGTACAAAGCATGTGCTTACCAATGCTAGTTCTCCGATATGTATTTTTACACACAGTGAAACGGCCTGTTTACTACAAGTACACATTACAGGTTGCAGTGTGTAGACAGAAACCTTGGTAGGTTAAGAATATCTAGATTTGAATTTAGTAGCACATTAGAGACCAATAAGATTTTCCAGGTATGAACTTTCAGAAGTCAAAGCTCCCTTCATCAGTTTTGACTTACAAAATCTTGTTGGCCTCTAAGGTACTCCTGGACTTGAATCCAGCTGTTCTACTGCAGACCAACATGGCTACGCCTCCGCAATCACGCTAAGAATGTAATTGATAAAAAGTCTCGGTGGGAAAACTGGTATGAGAAGTAATTAGTACAGAAATCATGTTCATATTGATTGGAGCCAAATGCCAAAAAGAGAAGCCATCATCATGTTCATTTCAACATGGTAGTATTTGCTTATATTTTATATCTTACTGTGGTTTGGATCCAGCCTAAAATCTCCACTGATGGAAATCCTTCCATCAGCAGAGCACAACTTCTCTGGCTCCCACTCCAGCCCAAAATTCCTCCTGAAAAAGAGGGGGACAGGGGACCTGCCAGAGCAGTGTGAAGGGGGAGTTGACAGTCTGCTGCAGAGCGGGAGAACTGGCAAAAAGTCATCCCCTCTTCGGTAAGTAGAAATGACTAATGGGATTCAACTCAGTATGCTTAGTTTCACCGCATGAGGATTTGAACTGATATCACTGGCTCCCTTCAGCCTATTAAATAGCCACACACTATTCCAGGTTTCAGAACCCATCTAATTCATTTATTTGTGTGTGCATGTTTTTTTAAAAATAACAGATCTTCAAAAAGATAGAGGAATTTCAGACAGACGATATAATCTGGAAGAGGAACGGTTCCCAAACGGTTTCTGGTCTGTCATTTCAGACAGAACCGTTTTAGAACCGGTTCCCTACCGGAATATATTTGTAATTTCAGACACAAATGCTTCTGTCCCGTTTAGGAAACGGGGCTGAAGCGTTTTACCTGTCAACCGCTTCCAAGTAGTCTTCAGTTTCCTCTCCCGGTTCCGATGCGCTTTTTCCCACCGTTTTTCCCCTGCGCGGGCGATCTCCACTTTTTTTTTAACGTTCGCTTTATAGTGCTATAACACACCATCAGTATAGCAATGCCATTGGAATGCCTGGAGTGTTTTGTTATAGTGCTATAGCGCTATAAAGCAAACATTCAAAACAAAAAAAAAAGCCGGAGATCGCCCACGCAGGTGAAAAACGGCGGGAATAAAGTGGGAAAAAGCAGTGCAGTCTGAAATGGCAAACCGCTTCAGATCCAGCTCTTTACCGGATGGGGAAAGCCATGTGTGAAATGGCAGCCCTATAGCGGTTTACTCCATGACGGATCAAAAACTGCTTCAAAACAGGTTTAAAAGGGTAATGTGAAATTCCTCATAGTTTCAGAAGGTAGCTGTGTCAGTCTACAATAGAACAGTTAGATTTCAGTCCAGTTGCACCTTGGAGACCAACAAGAGTTTCAGAATCAAAGTCCCCTTTGTCAGACATGAGTAGAGTAGAAACGGACATCTCTTGCGATACACCTTTCCCACCTTCTGACTAGGATAAAATGATTCAGAGCTTCGTTCCATCTCTACTCATGTCTGACGAAGGGAGTTTTGACTCTGAAAAGCTTATAGCCTGAAACTCTTATGGGTCTCTGAGGTGCTACTGGACTCAGATCTTCCAAAGCCTTTTGATACAAATAGCCCAAGGAAGGAAACTTTTAATTACTTATGTTTCCAAGCAGTCCATTCATAATCGTACTGTGATCTGGCTTTAGCATGTTACTGTCCTGATTAATGAATTCAAGGCTGTCTTGAAGCCTACAGAAGGAAAAAAGAAAGAAATGTTATTTGCATTCTGTTACAGCGCTGTTTGATTCTATTCTCAACTGTAGTCTGTATACATTTTTCCCTTTTCAAGGCAATAAAATTGTTTAATGACAGGCAGCACAAAGTGCAGAAGTCAATTCTGCACATCATTCAATGTCTTCTCAGCATTATTAGCCCAGAACTACTTCTTTCTTCAGCTATCACAATGTAAAGGTGTCTGGAACAGCAGTGGCATCCGATCCCAAAGCAAGAGACAAAAATCTCCGTCTCACCATGTCATCCCTTCACATTCATTTTCTTTTCCCATTGTAGAAAGTGTGCCTTATGCCATTTAGCAACTTTTCAACTATAGAGCAGTGCCAGGCAATTAATGGCAAATACTCAAGTTCTCAGTTACTTTAAATGTACGTTTCTTCTTTTATTTTTAACAAGCACTTTTCCTGCACCAGCAAACAGGCCAGTCTTCCTAAATTCTCAGCTAAACAACCCAATTCACTGAAGGGGACAATGGAAGTATTAAGAGAGGGGACAGCGGAATGCCATCCTGCTTCACTTTGGTTCGCACTAATGAAGAATCGTTTCTTGCTTGTGCAAGACTTATGAACAAAATGATGTAAAGAAATCAGCATGAAAGGCAACAGAAAAGTTTCCAGTCTCCACTATTATCATGCACACTTTTTGTAATCTGACTCTGACCTATGTGGGGGGTTCAGGGGTACAGCCATGCTGCCAAGCCTTCTAGGTGCAAGGGTGAAGTCCATGACAGAGGAAGAGAAAAAAGGTGAATGGAGGAATGCGCAGATAGCCTGTTCTCTCTCTCCATCCCCTACCCTGAATCAGCCCAGGAAACAGGGTGCTCCTCCTACAAGAATTAAAGAACAGCCTTGATCTGGAGCAAGACGAGGCAACCAAAATGGGCACAACTTATCAAAAGGCAGAGGAAGGGGTGGGATGAGGTGAAATGACCTTTGTGACTCCACACAGATAGAAAGGGTGTTAGGTATTCTAAAGTAGGCAAAATTGGCTTAGCAGTGATCTCCTTTCCCTCTCGTTTTGGCCAAGAAGGTTTGATGTGCACTCTCTCTTTTTCATCTAATCCACAATACACATAGTTCACATAGTATTTCTAAGACACTCACGTGTTTAAACTTCCATAGATACTACTTCCAGTTCGAGCTGTAAAAACTTTGCTTAACATAAGTTGTGGAGGTGAGCTGTGAGGCAAAAAAATATATTATTAGATATATCTTCTTCATTTGTCTGTTGAGTAGAATATCAAGACCTCAAGACAGGCAATTGTTTTTTACTCAATGACTGAAAAATCATTTTCAGCCTCACCTCACTCAGCAAATGATGCTGTCAGTTAACAATATATTTATACTGTTTAACATATTCCACTCTTTTCCATTAAATGAAGGTGGTTAACAACACAAAAATATGTTATAATGTGCACATAGTGACTATTCTATTCAAACTTCTGATCTTTGTGTCTGAACCTGTATTCTAACAAATTACTGCTGTATTAAAGATCTTATTTGGTGACTATGTGATTAGTTTTTCACATAAGACAACAATGATGGCAAACAACATAGAAATTAACACATGGATGGAGAAACAGGATCAGGCCTCCTGGGCCCACCCCTGACCTCCACGTGTTGCTCAGGGCTTGTGCATAAATGTGTATATATGGACGTATACTCTGGATGCTCAAACTGTACCTTGAAAAATGGATGGTAGAGAGCATATGTTCAAATCCTCTGAGCAAAAAGGTTGATCAGTGATGAGAACCTGATGGAGGATCAGCAGACGTGGTTCCATTCTTCCTCCTCATTCTGTCATTTCCACACTGCTCAACTATCTTTATGACGCTAGTGACAATAATGTGTACCTGAGACACCTCTACTCCTATGAGAATCCTGGGTTATTACATGAATTCAAGAAAGTGAGATCCTTTGAGAAAGCTCTGCAAACAGAAGTCTTACCGGATTTGATGGATTTTTAGGGTTGAACCTTTGTAGCTCATGGCCACAGAACCAAACATCATCTCCCCAAGCATATTAGCATCTGAAGAACACCGGGAGCCCTGCAAAACATGCAATTCACTATTATGTTGCATAGGTGATCATTCTTTGAACACAGTTAAGGCACTGTAGAAAGAAAAGGAAATGCCTTTTTGATCTAGTAAACAAATAATAATAATGTTTGAAGTACAATACCAAAAATTTGTTCACATATATAAACAGAAACATGTTTTGAACACATACACCAAATCAGACCCTTGGTCCATCAAATCCAGTACTATCTAGTTAGACTGGCAGCAGCTTTCCAGAGTCTCAGGTTGAGGTCTTTCACATCACCTACTGACTGGTTCTTTACTGGAGATGGCAAGGATTGAATCTGGGACCTTCTGCATGCCAAGTAGATGCTCTGCCACTGAGCCACGGCTTCTCCCCTTGCACTCTTAAATCTCATTTTGTTCATAAAATTGAAAGCCACACCCTGACCTGGGTAGCCCAGGCAAGCCCGATCTTGTCATATCTCAGAAGCTAAGCAGGGCCAACTCTGGCGAGTACTTGGATGGAAGACCTCCTTGGAATACCAACAGTTGGGAGGCAGGGGCAGGCTTTATTCAGCCACCTCTCTGAATATTCTCCAGCCCCCAGTAGCGGTCAGTCACCAGAGCTCACCATGACTTCCAGGTGCACGCGCACACACACACACAAATACAAAAATCCCCCCCCCCAAAAAAAACCCCAGTAAATCATGGATGGTATCTGCTGCACTATGGCTATTGTCCATGACACCAAATACCTAATAATCCTACCACTGCCTCTCTTGTCCATCCACTGCCACTTGCCTTACATGTTGGGCTTGGTAGCAGCAGCACTACTTGCCTCAGAAGCCTCTGGAGTGTCTTCCTCAATCTCCTTCCCTTATCCTGTCTCATCTCTCTGTGCAGTAACACCCAAGAAACTGGTTTCTGGGGCATGTCTTCTGACCCCTGTTATTTGCCCATCATTCCATAAAGGAAACGACTTTGTTTAATGGCAGAAACAGACACGTGCGTATTTGTAATGGCCGTGGAGAACTTATAAAATAATACTAACATGTGTTATAAATTGTTTGAATAACCTAATTCACAGCATTCCATCTGCTTTTAATTTTTAATTGGCAACTCCAGCATTAAAATACTGGAGTGCAGAATTTCACACACATTTAACACCTGGTTAAAGATCATTCACATTTATTTGGCACTAGTCAAATGTGTCACTCCACAGGATAAAGTATAGTTCCATGATTAAACTGTCTGCATTGGCATTTACTAACATTAAAACAGAAAGATTTTCAGTCAAACACAGTTGAGTAGGAAAGCACACAGAAACTGATCGAAGGAAGGAAACTATATTGAACCTAAGATACTTACCTATCACATTTGAAATGCAGTTCAATTAAAAAAAAAAGATGGTTAATGAAACAAAGAAAGCAGAAATCATCTATCTAAATCTGAACTTGGCTTCAAAATGCAGATTTTAAAAATCCATACACTGGATCCAGGAACAGAAAGAGGAGATGTTTGTACAAACATCCCCAAACTAAAAATACAACAAAAAACCCCTGCACCCCCTCAATAGAGAAACAATGTCTGTGCAAGCACAAACATCACAAAGCAAGCAAACAAAAAATGCTGAACAAGTTCTTGGGGCACTATATCCTTCAAAGCAACTGGCATGGAAATGGCTTGCAGTGGAAAGAGGGCACAAGCACTTTCAGCTTGAAGCTCCCCCATCAGCTAGCACAGGCAGGTTTGCAGAAAGGGCATCCTGTACCCTTTCTGCCCCCAAGCCTCCCCCATCATGTCTAGCTAGGTGATGGGGGTGAGCTTGGGAAAGAGAAATGTGTCCAGCATACTTTCTGCTCCATGCTCAGCGTTTCCTCATCACCTGGTCAGCAGTTGGTAGGGGAGACAGATTTTTAAAATTTTCTTACAAGATTTATGCCCCATCTTTCTGCCCTCATAAGGGCCACCAAGAGAGCTAGCAAATTAAAACATACATAATAATATCTCATAGAGGCTGCGGTGGCTCAAGTGGTTAAGACACTGAACTGCAGACCGGAAGGTCAGTAGTTCAGCAGTTCGAGACCTGAGTGCCGCATGACGGAGTGAGGTCCCGTCTCTGGTCCCAGCTCCTGCCAAACTAGCAGTTCGAAAGCAAGAAACTACAAGCAGAGAAATAGGTACCGCTTCAGTGGGAAGGTAACCACGTTCTGTGCGCCTCGGCGTCTAGTCATGCCGGCCACATGACCATGGAAATGTCTTTGGACAGCGCTGGCTCTTCGGCTTGGAAACGGAGATGAGCACCGCAACCCTAGAGTCGGATTTGACTGGCTTTCGAGCAAGGGAAACCTTTACTTTTACCTAATAATATCTCATATTAAACACCATTAAAACCAACAAGAAACACATCATTAAACCAATTAATACCAGAGATAAAATACATACAAAAACATAAAAGAACAATTAAGGCATTGGGCTGGAAGGAGAGATCACAGAGGGAATGTCAAGCAAAACAAATGATGTTGGCAAAAGATAGTTACAGGAGGGGACAGACAAGTCTCCCTGGGGAGACAGTTTTAGAGGCTTGGTGCCACGATCAAGAAGGCCCTCTCTCTCCTGGATTGCCACCTGCCTAATCTCAGAAGGTGGGGCACCCAAAGCAGAGATGTTGGTGCCAAACTGTGTAGGGCTTGAAAAGTCAACACCAGCACCCTGAATTGTGACCAGAAAACAGACTGGGAGCCAGTGTAGGTGGCCCCTGAAGTGATATGGTTCCTACGATCCACTCCAGTCAACATCCTAACCTAGATGCAATTAGGGCATGCATCACAGTGGCTAGATCTTTTCGGCCCTCGAGAAGCTGCAACTGGCTATCCACACCAGGGTTGCCAGCCTCCAGATGAGGCCTGGAGATCTCCCACTTTTACAACTGATCTTCAGTTGTCAGAGATCAGTCCCTCTGGAGAAAATGGCTGCTTTGAAGGGTGGACTCTATGGCATTGTACCATGCCGAGGCCCCTCCCCAAACCCTCCCCTCCTCTGGATCCACGCCCAAAGTCTCCAGGTATCTTCCAACCTAGGCCTGGCAACCGTACTATCCAGTCAAAGCTGGTAATAGGTACTCCTAGCCACAGCTATCACCTGCTTATCTAGCAGTAGACCGGGGTCCAAGACCATATTTTCCCCTTGATTTTATTAGTTTTAATGCAGTTCAGTTTTTACATTTTTTGCTGTTTTTCTCTCTTTTTTGCTGTTACCTGTTTTTATATATATCTGCTGTTTAATGTGATTGATACAGTGATGGAAGCCATCTCAGACATTTTAAAATGGAGAGTTTGGAGTACAACATTCGAAATAAATATTTCTATCACTCTAAAATCATAGCTCTGGTATGCAAACACATTTTGATGTTTTTGTCTATTACGTGTATACTCATTTCTAGGTCAATCTAGGTCAATTATGTGTATACTCATTTCTAGGTCAATCTAACTGGCCAATTAAAACTGATCATCATCTTCATGGGCAAAATTACTTGTATGCATAATCTTTGAGACACTGAACAAGGTTAGATCCCACAGATCTTGCTAACAATGATGCCTTCTGCCAGCAAAAGCTCTTCCCTGATGCAGGAAGCAAGAAGAGAGACCCCTTGCACCAGAAAAAGGACCACTGTTAGCAGAGTAAATCTGTGATGCAAAGTAACACAAGGGGTACAGCAATGGATAATCACAAAGACAAACAAAATTGCTGCAGATGTGCATACAATTAGAAAATAGTTGGCAATAATATAGAACAACAATAGAATTCTAAGATGTTTTAATTCTTGTTTTCAGCAAAGACTGCCATCGAGATGACGTCGAGATGAGCAGAAACGCAGATTACGAACTTCTCGAGTTCTAGCGTTTGTTTCGATACAGTTCTTTATCAAACAAATCTCAGAATCTCAGTTCTTTAATGCTCTTCATACGAATTCTTCACAAGAAGGACTTCCTAAATCCAGAAACTTTTCCAAACAGCTTTGGACTAACAATTTTCAACTTCCATCGGACGGTCTGTGTTTGAATTACCTTTTAAATAGCTTGCATCACAGTCATACCATGCAATCATATGCCATTAGATAGTTAAATTAATTTTGGATTTATTTCATTCTTTTTACTCCCAGACATGCACTTAATCCCAACAAAATTTATTTTGCCTCTTCAGTACTCCATGCACAGTATTCGTAGACAATGACTTGTCCTTCCAATAATGCTGTGTCATGATTTCTGAGTAAAGCCTGATCAAACTCAGAAGATAAATGGGGTAGCTAAACTCAGTTCTGGGCAGACACACACTGCTTTCAAGCTCTCATAAGACTTGCTAAAGTTACATTGTGTAAGAGGAAGGGAGATCACCAAAAGCCATATCCCTTCCTGTCCAAAACACAGTTCTCCCAGGACGAGGAGATAAATATAGCTTTATTCTCCTGCTCAACAGCACAATGTGAAGCAAATTACATGTTGGGCGGACGCGTGCACAATCTGTAACTGGATGAGGCCAGTGCTGTGCTTAATTGAACTTGGTAACTAGTTAATATATGAACTCCAACGCCATCGTTAATTCAGAGCCCCAGAATATATGATGTTGGGATCAGCCTCCCCGAAGCAGAGAATTACTTCACTACAAAGGGTCTAAAGAATCAATTCTATTTTAGGAAGGCTTAATAGAAAACACTTGTGATCAGTGCAAGGTGAGATGACAGAAATATATCCATGTCAGATGACTCTGGCTGCAATGGTGGCCAAAACCGCTTCTCTTATGTAAAGTGTAACTCAAGTTCAATGAGCACCCATGTCACAGTCCTTTTAAGTTGTCAGCAAGAAATAGATTTACAGTCAAACATTTCCAAACCGCTTTCTAGGCCAAAAAATTCTTGAACACAAGGCTTTACAAACATTTAGAGCAAGCTCAACAAACACTTGACAGTTAGGGGTGTAACACTACATATAGCTCAGTCTCTGGGGGGAGGGGGAGAAGGTTTGTTACTCAAACTCTCAAAGACTGATTTCAGTATCATTGATTCCTCTCTCCCTACCCTCACTAAATGATCCAGGAAAATCATTATTGTATATATCATCAACACATGTGATAGAATATCTTTAGGGGGGAAATGCATGGGATTTATGACAAGACAAAGGGCCAAACTAGATGTGATGGCAGTGCACCCATGGTTCCGACCCATGGATACCACTGCCATTTTAAAGCCTATTGAGGCAATTTTAAAATGCCAAAAGATATCAGATATGCAGCATGGTGGCTCTGTAGTCTCCCCACTCATGCCTTTTCAAGTGCCAAAAACAGCCATGGGGGCCATTACAGTGCTTGAAAAGGCACATTAAGGGGGAAGAGCCCTTCATCCCGTTGTGCTGTGGCCCCCGTTGTGGCTTGTTTAAATGCCTCATTACTCTTTAAAACTATGAGTTGGATCCAGGGGCACTATCTTGTCTAGTATAGCACTAATACTTTTTTATAACTATTGGAACATAAGTGGAAATCTCGGAATCCCATCTCAAACCTAATTCATATGCTTCCTCCTCTTAAAGATAATTGACAAAGCAGGTAAGCCCATTCCCCCCACCTCAGATAGGCAGGTAAGCCCATCCCCCACCTCAGTTATTGACTTTTCAGTTTTTTGCTATCTAAAACTAGTGAACTTTCTTATCCAGAGCAGGCATCTTCTCCCCAATTCTGCTGGGAGTCCAAAGAAGGGAAGCAGTAGATGTATATGCCATATATTATTTGGATATACCAATCTTTCTACTGGCCCAGTAGAAATACGGACTCTTCTAGACACAGTTCAGACAAGCTACTTAAATTATTCTACTTAACTACTTAAAAATTCTTTTTTTCTGGTATTCTTTTCCTTGTCTAGTTTGCCTGACATCTGCCACCTGCACTGTTGGATAACTACCAGTTAATAGCTTCAAGGTTTCTTTTTCTCTCTGGCCAGCTCTAGCTGCTGTCAATTCCTAATAAGGAGATTTTTTCAAACACGTAACACAGACATCAGTCACAGTGAAAGTATGGCACGTTTACAACAGGAGGAACTCTCACCTGATATTTTGAACACTGCTCTTTTGTTTCAGAAGATGAAGAGGAGGAATTGATTGAACTGTCCAAGGAGGAGGAACTATCTCCTCCAGGTCTGAGTTGGCAACATTTCCCAAAGACTTTTACCTGCACGTCATTACAGAGTTTCTGAGAGAGAGAAATAAATGTGTGTTAGCTTTACTTTAACCAAACCCCAAAAGTGTATTCTGAGAAGCACTGCAGTCTGGGAACTCATATCTCCTGCAGCCCAAATTTATGGAGAAAAAATCCTAAGTAACTTAACTTTAACAAATGCTTTAATGTCAATGAGAGAAAGGAAATCACAAGCCAAGCTGAGTGAGTCACTTACTAAGTTCCATTTGACTTAATAAGTCTTAGTAGTGTGCTAGAACTGGGGATACCAACAAGAACTTTGTAATTTTCATATAATATGCATCTTATATACTATTTTTTAACAATGGTAGGAATAAAGGAGTTCAAAAGGTGGAAGAAAAAGTTTTAGGGGGAATACTGTGTTTCATCACCCTGTGAGATTCCACATGCATAAAGCTGGACCCTTATAGGTAAGGTAAAAAGTAAAGGTTCCCTTGCTCAAAAGCCAGTCGAGTTCGACTCTAGGGTTGCGGTGCTCATCTCCGTTTCACAGCCGAAGAGCCAGCACTGTCCGAAGACGTTTCCATGGTCATGTGGCCGGCATGACTAAACACCAAGGCGCACGGAATGCTGTTACCTTCCCACCGAAGTGGTACCCATTTATCTACTTGCAATTTCTTGCTTTCAAACTGCTAGGTTGGCAGGAGCTGGAACTAGAGACGGGAGCTCACTCCGTCATGTGGCAACTCGGGTCCTGAACTGCTGAACTACTGACCTTCCACAGCCTGCAGTTCAGCGTCTTAACCACTTGAGCCACCGCAGCTCCCCATATATATATGTACCCTGTTTCCCCGAAAATTAGACCTACCCCAAAAATAAGCCCTAGCAGGATTTCTATGCATTTGTGGTATAAGCCCTACTGTGTCTTCTTGAGAAAAAATAAATATAAGACAGTGTCTTATTTTCGGGGAAACACGGTATGTATATATGTAAAGCTTGTGCCATATTTGCTATCAAATTGAGGGGAAGGACAGCATTAGATGGTGTCCTTACAGAAAGGAGAAACATTTATTTATTTATTTATTTCAATTTATATCCCGCCCTCCCCACCAAGGCAGGCTCAGGGCGGCTTACATTAAAAGTTAAAATACATTAAAACACAAATTGTAAACATCATAAAAATCATATACAGTTACAAAATAAAGTGCTAGTGGTGCTGTGATCTTACACAGAAATTCCAGTACACTGTGGTGGAATGGTCACAGAAGACTATAGTCAGAGTCGGTAAGCAGCTTGTCAGACCATTTATAGAAACTGTCCCAGGCTGCTGGTGATGTTATGGAGGGCCTTACCACAGTTCAGTTGTTGGGAGTGGCTCCTAATTAAAGGCCTGGTGGAAGAGCTCCATTTTGCAGGCTCTGTGGACCTGTAAGAAATCCCACAGAGCCCTGATGTCTTCCGGGAGCTCATTCCACACATCTATTATATACAGAAAACTTCTAATTATTAAAAAAAAATACCCATCCTCATGGAGCTGTATACAAGATACGGGTTCTTGCCTACCCAAACTGGAAGTTAAACTGAACAGAAGGAAACTGCTTGGCATCTGGATTAGAGGGAAATTAGACTTAAGATGATACAAATGAACCAACTCCAAGTCCACTCTCCTCTACCACCAGACACCTTAAACTTTGGAGGGAATGCCTCCTTCATTTTAAAGCATCACGACAGAACATTGCTGCTCTTAAACTGCAAAGGGCAATGCCATCTCATAGTTTTAAAAAATCAGAGGGTACATCAAAAGCAGATCATAATATCATCACATAGTCAGTGTGGCATAGCAGTTAAGACTGGGACCTTGGACGAATTGGTTTGAATCCATGCTGCCACAGAAGCTCACTAGGTGACCTCAGACATGTCACAGTCTCTCAGCCTAACCCACTTCACAAGGTTGCTGTTGTTAGGATATGATAGACGAGGGGAGAATGACGCAATCAGCTGCTTTGGGTTCCAATTATGGGCGAAAATAAAAAAATGGGCTATAAATAAAAAAACCCAAGCATAAATAAATAAGCATTTGGCTGTGATCCACTGAAATGTCTTGTGTTCAGTGCAATGTACAGTCTGATTTGCATCCAAATACAGTTCCTTACCTACGTCAAAGTTTAAAGTATCTGGTGGTAGAGGAGAGTGGAGGTGGAGTGTGCACTGGTGGTGCATGCAAGCAGATATTCTAAAGAATGCAATGCAACTATCCAGCATCAACTCTGTGGTTTCTTATTTAGCAAGTGATAATACATGACAGAGTAGGGATGGGCAAGAAACAGCTTGCCTTCCCGCCATACAGCTGTTTTTTTGCACTGTCTTGTGCAGTTCCTTTAAAGGGACTGCACAAAACAGCTGAGCAGTAGGGAGCGCCTCCCTTCCGCTCAGCTGTTTTTGCAGCTTTGGGGGGGAACAGAAAACAGGGGTTTAAAGGGACTGAGTCCCTCTAAATCCCTGCTTTGCTTTCTGCTCCAATCATGAACCACACAAACTGCTCTAAACATTTGTGGAAGTTTGTGATGGCAGACTGGTCACATACTTCTTTTCCTGAACCATAAACAGGGCAAAAATTGTGACAAAGTTTGCTTCATGGTTTGGTTCATGCCCATCCCTATGAGAAAAGCTGCTTCCAGAAGCAGGTCTCCTGAGCTGTTTTGCCCAAGTGGATGTGTGTATGTGTGTGTGTTGTTGGGATAAGTAGAAAGAAAGGATAAAAGGAAGAAAAGTTGCTCCTCTTCTTACTTTGTAAGGCATAACAAGAAAAAAATGTATGACAAAATACATAAACTGCAACCATTTTTATGGATCTAAACATCTGTGTATTTTATCATGGTTCAGCTATTTTAATATCAGCGTTCAACATTTCCATTCCTCTCCTTAGTATTTCAAACCACAGTTCACATGCCCATTCCAAGTTCAAAAATGCTTGGGAGCCTGGAACACTCTACAGCAGGGGTGTCAAACATGCAGCCCCCAGGCAAGATCAGGCCCTCAGAGGGCCTCAATCAGGCTCACAAGGCCCTGGCTGTTTCCTACTTCCATTTGCAGTTCTGCTGTTGCTGCCATGTTACAGCTTGTTTACCAGTCTCTCTCAATTGCACAGGATTGATAAATAGGCAAGGCTCTCCTGTATGACTGAGAGAGTCTGGTAAAGAAGTGGCTGAGGCTCGTCCCCCTCCTCTTCCCAGGGGGAGGGAGGGAGCAGTCAGAGCTTGCTCCCTGGCCAGGCTGCAGGAGACAAAGGGAAGCCTTTCTTCCCTTCCACTGGCTGAGGCTCCTCCCTGAAGGGAGGGAGGGAGGGAATGAGTGAGAGTTTGTTTTGCTGGGCTGCCTCAATCGCATGGGAGAAATACCAGGCACCTTTAACACCAACAAAGTTTTGTTCAATGTATGAGCTTTTGTGTGCCTTGCTACGGTGTTGGGCTTTTTATGCCAGGGCTCTCCTGGGTGCAGCTAGGTTCCCTCCCCCTTTTCACTGTATTCATGCTTTCATGATCCAGACTCAGTAAGAAAGCAATGTGAACTATTTTACAGAAGGAATAACAACAAACCAGTGAGGTCGATTAGACTGAGTGTGTCCAGACCAAGTTCATCCCCTTCGTAGGAAGTTGTAATTTCTCTGGGGAAGAGTATAGTTTTGTACTCAAACACATGGCCGTCAGTGTTAGGATGCCTTCTCATGTTCTTCACCAGCACATGAAGCAACTTATGTACAAAAGGTTGCAATGCCCAGCCATTTCATGTTTTCCCCTGGGTCCTAGGCTAGGAACACTGAGCATGAGATTTTTGTAATAAATGTCCAATAAATCAAAAGTAGATTTGCAGCTTTCAGAGACACACCTGGATAGCGTACTGAAGACTGCTACAGCAGAGACATTTTGATGCAATAATTCAGAGCAGAGGTGTCAGTTATCAGAGACTGTTAAACAGACACAATATTGCAAGAGTGCTAGTGTTTTAAGCATGTTTTATTTAAAGTTTTAAAAATCTTTAATTGTGTTTGTCTGTGTCCTTTATAAAGTTTATATCTCTGCTACTTGGCATTGCATTATATGACACGTATGGCCTGGCCCAACAAGGTCTCATTTATGTCTGATCTGGCCCTCATAACAAATGAATTCAACACCCCTGCTCTACAGAGAGAAGTGTTGCGGACACCAGTATTGGAAACGTCATTCTGTATCCACTCCATCAGTAACTGCAACAGATAGTTATTTAATCTGCTTTATATAACTACTGCACTGAAGTAAATGACAGCATTATAGCTTAAACTAGTTATAACACACAGTTTAAGACAGCAGTTCCTGTCAGGGTATTTGACTTCTTTATGACTCGGTTATAATAGGCATCTGACTGGCAAAAATAAAGGATCTGAGTGCTTCTGTGGATGGAAAAACGACCGCTGCGGATCATGAATTTATCACCTTCCTCATACCAATGCAGGCCAAAATACCCCCAGTGCTGTACCTGGGGGACGGGGGACCCCTGACAGTTTAATTTCAGGGGGCATTTTGGGCTGGAGGGGGAGGCAGAAATTTTTCCTTCTGCAGAAATATTCCACAGGACTCAACCCATAAAATAAACATTAGGTGTGACCCATTGTTAGTAGTAGGAAGTGAATTCTGAACTTAACATTTTCAGGATCATCCCCAGTTGTGCCACAGACATTATAGACAGACAGACAGATAAGAACAGGTAGGTCACTTTATGCTCCTCTACAGTGCTTTGAGGCTGTAGTCAAGTGGCTGAGGCAGAACAAGCTGAAGCTGAATGCAGTGGCAAGACAAAGGTAATGCCGGTTGGGAAGGCTGATGCTTTGGAGGGACTGGAGGGACTTGTGGTGGATGGACTAGAGCTGGTGTTTCCAGAGCAGATTAAGAGTTTGGGAGTACTTATGGAAACCACCTTGGTGTTTGAAAAGCAGGTTGGTGTAGAGGCCAAGAGTGCCTTCTATCACTTGCATCTGGTTTGTCAACCAAGCTGGCTATGCTAATCCATGCTTCTGTAAC